TATCAGTGGTGTTAATGAGTCTTCCTCCAATCCTGATGCCATGTTCTTCTTCATATGATTCAGCTTCTCAGATTATTTGCTCAGCATACTGATTGAATAAATCTGGTGGAAGAATACAGCTCTGGGGCTCACCTTTCCTGATTTTAACCCATTCAGTATTCCCTTGTTCTGTTCAAACGACTGCCTCTTGGTTTATGTACAGCTTCCTCATGATCAAAACCAAGTGTTCTGGAATGTCCATTCTTTGCAATGCTATCCACAGTTTGTTACGATCCGCACAGTCAAATGCCTTTGTATAGTCAATAAAACATGAATAAACATCTTTCTGGTATTCTCTGCTGTTAGCCAGTTTCCATCTGATGTCAGCAGTGAACCCTTGTTCCACATTTCTTTTTTTGAATTCAGCTTGAATTTCTGAAAGCTCCCTGCCAATGTACTGCTGCAGTTGTTTATGAATTGTCTTCAGCAAAATTTTGTTTGCATGTAATATTAATGATACTGTTTGGTGATATTTGCACTCCATTGGGTCACCTTTCTTTGAAATGTGGTGCTGTGTGATATGCACTGGATCTTATCCTAAATATGGATCTCTTCCAGGTGGTTGGCCAGGTAACTATCTTCCAAATTTCTTGACACATATGAGTGAATGCCTCTTGGGCTACATCAGTTTGTTGAAACATTGTAATTGGTATTCAGCCCATTATCTCTTTTACTTCATTTCTTCTAGATGCTTTAGCTTCTCTAAGCTCAAGTGCAAGTTCAGAGTTTCTTCTTAAATTCACTTTGGCCTTTTTTTTACCCTGTATTTTTTAAGGAACTTTTGCTTTTTTTTCATGGATGATGTTCTTGATGTCATTCTACAACTCTTCTGATCTTTGGTCATTAGTATCTAATGCATCAAATCTGTTCTCTAAATGGTCTCTAAGGTTATATTTTGGTTCTCGTGGAATTGTTTTAATTTTCTTCGTATGAGCAATTGGTGCTGTTTCACAGTCGACCCCTGGCCTTCTCATGGTTGGTTGATGTTGTCAAATGCTGTCCAGTCGGGTCCAACTCATAGCAACACTATATAGGGTTTTCGAGGAATGGCACTCATTCTATAGCACCACGTCAGGGCTGGTAGGTTTGAACTGCAGACCTTATAGTTAGCATTCCAGTGCTTATCCTATACTAGGATGCCATTGGATAGATTAGGAAATATCAAATATTAAGTTCTCTGAGAAACATTCTTAATTGAACTGTATCCTGCGGGAGATTTAAACCCAGTCCTCACTTATTGACCTGGTTAGATGCCAAAGACGAGGTTGTTAACCCAGAATTGGTGTTATGTGAAAAGGGAGGATGACCATAGAGATGGAAAATGACTCCATCATTACACTGCTGCTAAGTTAAGTTACATCATTACATAACTGCCAAGTCACTGAGTAGGTGTATTAGGGAGTGTTCTTGGGATCACAAGAAACCTTAGTAGCACAGTGGCTAAGTGCTTTGTTGGTAATGAAAGAGTTGATAGTTTGAACCAACCAGCTGCTTCGTGGGAGACAGAAGTGACAGTTTGCTTCCATAAATATCTACAGCCTTGGGAACCTTCTAGGGAATTCTCTTCTGTCCTAAAGGGTCACTATGAGTCAGAATCAACTGGTTGACATTGCAAGTAGGTATGGGAGTGAGGAAGAGGAAGAAGTAGGATTGGGCTGGGGAAAAAAAAATGAGTTGTGATACTGTCTTAAAGCCTCATTCAAGCCCATGAAGAGTATAAAGTTGGGATAGCCTTTCAGAGTTATCTTGCATTGGGGCAAAGGGATCTGGATTTTGGCTATGGATATAGGCTGTCATCAGAAGGAGTTGTGACCTTGGGTAAAGGTCACTCTGTTCAGCTAAGGAATTGCTGAAAAGGGCTGACAGCTGAAAGCTGTTTCCTGGTATTATTGTCAGCACCTGGTTCACCAAATTCTTTTGTCATAAAGGGATGTCTGTTAGTTTATTACAGTGTCCACTATTGAGAGTTAGGGTCAAGATGTTGTTAAATTGTTGTTAAGTGCCGTTGAGTCGGTTCCGACCCATAGCGACCCTGAACAGGGTGTCCGAGGCTGTAAATGTTTACGGGAGCAGAAAGCCTCCTCTTTGTCCCGCAGAGCAGCTGGTAGTTTCGAATTGCTGACCTTGCAGTTTGCAGCCCGATTTGTAACCACTATGCTACCAGAGCTCCTTAGGGTCAAGATAGGTACAGGCAAACAAATCTTAATGTGCGGTGGCAGCCCAGTTGTTGTTAGGTTTGTCAAGTTTTTTCAGCCTCAGAGCAACTCTGCAACACATTGAAACACTTGACCATTCCTGTTCCATCCTCATGATCGTTGTTATATTTGAGCCCATTGTTGCAGTCATTGTGTCACCATCTTGTTGAGGTCTTCCTGTATTTTGCTGACGCTTTACTTTATCTAGCATGATGTCCTCTAAGAATTCGTCCCTTCTAATTGTATATCTAAAGTATTTGAGATGAAGTCTTACTGTCCTCACTTCTAAGTAGCCTGTACTTCTTCCAAGATAGTCTTCTGTTCTTCTGATATTCCATGCTATATTCAGTGTTCTTTACCAGCACCATACCTCCAAGGCATCAGTTTTTTGTTCTTCCTTAGTAACTGTCCAGTTTTTGCTTGTTGAGGCTATTGAAAATATCATGGCTTGGATTTGTTGTTGTTAGGTGCCATTGAGTCGGTAACGACACATAGCGACCGTACACACAGCAGAATGAAACACTGCCTGATCCTGGGCCAACCTCACTATTATTGCCACGCTTGATTGAGTCCATCGATGCTGCCACTTGGCCAGTCCATCTTGTTGGGGATCTTCCTCTTTTCCTCTGACCTTCCACCTTACCAAACATGACATCCTTCTCCAGCAACTGGTCCCTCCTGACGATATGTCCAAAGTATGAGAGACAAAGTTTGGCCATCTTGGCCTCCAAGGAGCGCCCTGGCTGCACTTCTTCTAAAACAGATATATTGGTTCTTTTGGCAGCCCATAGCACTTTCAATATTCTTCTCTAGCACCATAACTCAAAGGCATCAATTCTTCTAAGGTCTTCCTTATTCACTGTCTAGCTTTCGCATGCATATGAAGTTATTGAAAATACCATGGCTTGTATCAGGCACACCTTAGTCCTCAAGCTGACATCTTTGCTCTTCAACACTTTAAAAAGGTCTTGTGCAGCAGATTTGCTTAATGTAATACGTCCTTTGATCTCTTGACTGCTGCTTCCCTGAGTGTTGATAGTTGATCCAAGAAGAATGAAGTCCTTGACAACTTCAATCTTTTCTCCGTTGATGAGAGTGTTGTTTATTTGTCCAGTGGTGAGGAGTTTTGTAATCCATACTGAAGGCTGTGCTCTCTGATCTTCATAAGTAAATGTTTCAAGTCCTCTTCACTTTCAGCAAGCAAGGTTGTATCATCTGCATATCGCAGGTTGTTAATGAGTCTTCCTCCA